AGATTAAAGTCAGAATTCTGAGATTAAGTCAGGATTCTGAGATTAAATTAGAATTCTGGAATTAAAGTCAAAATTCTGACTTTAATCTCAGAATTATGAGATTTAAGTCAGAATTCCGAGTTTTAATTAGAATTCTGGAATTAAAGTCAAAATTCTGTTTTTAATCTCACATTTATAAAATTAAAGTGAGATTAAGAAAGTGAGATTAAGTCAGAATTATGAGATTAGGTCAGAGTTCTGAGATCAAATTAGAATTATGAGATTAAGTCAGAATTGTGAGTTTAAATTAGAATTCTGGAATTAAAGTCAAAATTCTGATTTTTAATCTCAGAATTATGACATTAAAGTGAGATTAAGTCAGAATTATGAGATTAAAGTTAGAATTCTGACTTTTTTCCCATATTAAAGTGAAATAAAATTTTGCAATCAGTTAACTTTTTTTTTTTTTTTTTCTTCCGGTGGCCCTAATCCTCTTCCGTAGTTATGGCTTAAAAATCTAATATGTGATATTTGTTTTCCTCCCAGACCCCATTGATTAATTTTTTTTCTCCCTTCAATTTCATAATATAAATTTTAAACTGGATACATAACTTAAAAAAATAGCTTTCATTTTCAATCATATCCTCTGGGAGAGGGTCTAACAAGACAAAAATAAAATCAAGCTTAAAAAATGCGGGTAAAACAATGTTTCACAACAAATAAATGAAAACACAACAAACTCAATGTTAGCAGCTTAGCGGTGACACACAGTCAGCTAGTTTATCACTTATGAGTAAATATCTAGGGAATAAAAAGTGATGTCACCCTGAACTAATTATTTTCCAAGAATCCCTATTTTTGTAACTGATCATTTGATTAAGAATTTAAATTATTACTCCATTATTTTATTTATTTTCTTCTTTTATTATTTCTTTTATTTATTTCTTTTCTTTTCAATTAGTGACGGTAAAAAGTTGTGATTCAATCAACAAATAGAGTGAGACAAAAAGAAAACTGTTGATGTAAACAACACTTAATTTGTGAAAATTACCAAATTAGACATAAAAATAAAATGAACAGTTTTGGTATTTTTAAGAACCTTAAAACAAGAATAAAAGAATAATTACTCTATTTCAGTATTTATAGAAAAATTAAACCGATTTTTCATATCTTGTGAAACCAACATTCACTATGACAGTCATGTTTACTAATAATTAGATTATGTATTTTTTTAATATCTGAACCCTTTTTAACATTTTTTATATTCTCATTACCAGCGATAACGGCTTTAAAACATCTGTCTGTGTCTAATTAATACGATAAACTCAATGATTAACTGAAGTACATAAACTTAAGGATAATAATGTAAATTATTTAAAATGTCTGTCTCTCTCTGAGTGAGTAGTTAGTAGGAGACATCTGCCAAAGAAACACAAATTTATATTGAAATGAGATTTCTTGTTTATACACAGGCTTCATTGTTCTAATGTTATTATCCATACTGTGCCAATTAAAGGTACACTAATACAATAAACATACTTTATGTTATTACTGGAAATACTTTGACTGCTCTGAAATATAAAGTATTTAAGATAAACATGGATTTTATAAATGCTGTAATGTTTGTTTTTTTTTTGCTCAAATGTCTTATTTTGTTTAGATGTAATTGTTTTGTTTTTTTTATACAAATGTTTCACTTTTTACTTAAAAAAAATGCCTTCATTTATAGTTTTCTATCATTTTTGGCATTTACTTAATCATATAAGACATAAAACAATTCTGTTAAAGTAACTAAATATGATTAAGTAAATGCAAAAAGCAGTTGCATTATTTTATTCAGTGTTTTTACATTTTTTTTTTATCAAATCAAATATTAGGATCAATCTGTTGCTCAGTTTTGCAGAAACTTCCACTGGGAACAGATTAATTGTTTAGAATAACTACTTCTTATCTCTGCTTGTGTAAATGTACATTGAAGTTGTGCTATTCTTACTTTAGAACAATTACTGGCTGCAGGATATTGTTATATTTCTGCACAATGAGCATTTAGAGATGTTTGTTGTGATTCACAGAGGACAATGTTGCTGCTCATCCTTGTCAGTTTGTGTCTGGATCCATCTGCTTGTTTCTGCCCCCTGCCTCTCCTTTCTCCTCCCCCTCACATCATCTTGTAATGCATATACAAGGATCACAAAGATGAGTCACTTCCATCTCTCTCATCCTCTGACAGGTCCAAGTAAGAATCTCCCCCGGCTGCCTGCCAAAGGAACCTTTTCTGTTTCCATCCTTCTTTCTGCAATAAGGCTGTCTCAGATTTTACCGCTGCTGACACACACAGAAGGATCGTCTTCCTAAAATCCAAATTGTTTTGTCTGGAAATGTTTGTATCTGTATTTCTACCACCAACATTTGCCTTACCGCTCCTACTTCAATTTATATGCTATCTAATAGGATTTCTTGGAGAAGAAGAAGAAAAAACTCCCTCACTGTTTATATTTCTGACCTCTTTCCTTTATAATGCTCCATTAGATGTCGGGGGAAAAAGAATGTGTATATACCTCTACCTTTAAAGGATACACTATAGCAGGGGTAACCAATTAAAAATCAGCGGGTCCTAATAAAGAAAATCATCAACCAGTAAAGATGCGGAGACATTTTTAATTGTAATCTCTTACTTTAAACAAAATTTAACACTGAAATAAAATGAGGTTTTATGCATCCATGTTACATTGACTTTTTAAATAGAAAAATATACATAGAAAAATAGAAAATTTTTCCATTTTTTTTAACTCTTTAAAGCCCGATCCAAGAATAAAACAAAACAGAAAATTACTTTTTTTTTTTGGTTTGAAGTCCTTATTTGCCCTTTTAACAAAATATGTAAAAAGAAAAAACAGAAATACATTTTTGATACTAATAATTTTTTACTATGCGATAAGTCAAGATTATTTTTTGTGTATTCTTCTACTGGCTGTTATCAGGTATATCTGATTGTGTACAATAGGATTTTGAGCAAAGTTTTTACCATTAAATTATGCAAAAGGTGTCCGACGCAAAACATTTCAGAAACCGTATGTATCAAATATGATACATTTGGCAGTTAAAAATCAGCGGGTCCAAATAAAGAAAATCATCAACCAGTAAAAGTCCGGAGACATTTTTAATTATAATTTGTTACTTTAAACAGAATTTAACACTGAATTCAAATGAAGTGTTTAAGCATCCATGTTACATTGACTTTTTATATAGAAAAATAAACATAAAAAA